TGCTTTCCCCTATTACACTGTATGATCACTATTATTTTGATGGATGCTATTTATTTTATCCTCATCCCATCCCATCCCATCCTTTGCATTCGTTTCCTTTCTATTCGATACTATTCAATCTTATACTATCTTAATCTAACCTAACAGAGCATATCTTAACCTACCGTGTCTTATCGTATTAGACTATAGCCTATCCCAATCCAGACTATCCGTTTCGCTCTCATATCCCATCACTTCTCGTGCTATCCTAACATATTATTTAAACCTCAGATATGAAGCCCTCATTCAAATTAATTTATCAAATCTCCAAAACCCCATATAAGTATTCTCTTACTAATTCACACGGTTATACTGTCCGACAAGTATATGTATGTATGTATGTCATCCACATGGTACGAGCCTCTCAATTTACTGCGAATGCACACCCTTTTTGTCTCCAAATGCCCACCCCAACAACAGTTTGCCGCCAACAGAAAATTTGGCAAAAATCTCTTCCACTAAAAATAGTTGAAGGCCAACAACAATATCGACATCCATCCACACACATACAAGCACACACTTATGCACACTCATGCATATCACACACAATGTTTAGGAATTTTCGTAATGATGCTATCATTACCCTGCACTCGCTTGGAAAATTTATTGTTTATGGCCATGGAATTCAATTCACTGGAAAATTCTAACTAATTCACTGAGCTCGCATTGCGACCAAACTAAAATGAAAATGTGAAAAGTTATTAGCTTAAAATGTAACGGTCATAACAATACTTTAAGCTAAAAATTTTACCGAAATTTGTGTGTATGAGTTTCGGAGAATTTAATAAATTTGCATCAGAAAGGACTCAACTGAATTTTAACTTGCCTTTGTGTCCTTTTAAATACTAAACACTGCCGATGTTGAACCAGTCGTCTTTTTTTTTTAGAGTATATTATTAAACATTAATTATTTACCAAAAATACATCATCATCACCTGCCTGCTGGTGTCAACAGCCGATATGCACACAACTCGTTAATAAAGAGAGGATTTTTCACACATTACTTCGCTCACTCAAACCAAAACTTTTACACCTGATTTAATCAAACACATACTATCCTAAACACAGGCATGTATTTATATGTGTGTTTGTGTAAATTTTAAATGGCCAAATATTGCTTATTACAGCTCCAGCGCCTTTCGGAAAGAAACAGTGAAACAATTAAAGTTTTTGCTAAATTTTTGTGGAGTAAAAAGTTTGGACTTTCTGTCACCTATACTGCGCGTATCTAAAAGTAAAATCATAAATAATATTATAAAACATAAAACCTTACACAATATATAGTGTTAAGCTTAATTACGTATATAATCTTCATAAAAACTTGTTTGAAATTAACTTAATAAACTCTCTGTCACTCCAGCGCCTTATAACCTGTGTCCCTTTATCTCTTGCTTAACTGTCACTTAAATTCAGACTTGTAGCATAATCAACCAATATCAATAAAGCGACGAGATGATATAGATCAACAGAGTTCATTGTAGAACAAATTCATGCAGTTTCAAGCGGAAGATATTGACCGACTTAACTCATATTTGGCTAACTTCTCACTATTTTTAACAAAATATTCTCTATCAATACTAATAATGCATATCCGCCTGATAAATTTTAGCAAATTTAGTTCGAATATCTTGACGATATTCATGTTTTGTAGTAAAATTAGGTACATGAACCAAGATTCGAGGAAGTCGTATATAAAAGAAATGGAAAAATATAATAGTAAATAGCAAAACAGAAAATTCTCATTTTTATTGAGTTATGCAAAAATTTGATTTCTTAAAGGTCTAAAAATCAGACTAAATTATTTATTCAATTAACATAATCCTTATATTTGCGTTACAGTTACAGATCATTATTATGTACCATAAAAAGAAACTAGCCTGTTTTGAGCCAAGGTCAATATAGTAATTTGCTGATTGGTATTTTATTAAATATGTATCCTTTAGGGGTTACATGGGTTTCGTCGAGCAAAAACGCCCTATTTTCATTATTTTTTTTCCCCCTATAAAATAAGAAATATTTTATTCAAATATTTTATATTCCGAACATACATATTCAATAAAGATTTTGGGAAATTTGCAAAGGAATATATACAAAACTCGGTCATTAAGACGTCATTATCGGCAGTCCCTCTGAAAAAAGGTGCTTCCGCGTTGACAGCAGAATTTCAGACAAGATCATCAAAAGTAAAACAAAAAAAAAAGATGTGTTTGAACTAAGCCTAGTTACGGAGATGGATAAAAAACAAATAAAGTGAAAATTGTATTGTAAACATGCAAATTTTGGTAAACATTTCTCGCCGTTTTGTGTTTTTAAATAGTTTTAATTGAACAAAAAAAAGCATTTCGTTCAAGACCTTCTAAATTATATCTCAAAGACCTTTGAAACATTTCCTTAAAATCAGTTGAGTAGTTCGTTAGAAATCTTGACAACCGACTTTGAAAGCACGGTTTCGAAAAGAACGCTTTTAAAGTTTTAAGTGACCATAAAGCTAAACTCCTCGAGCGCGGAACTTTTCAAAGCTGTATCTCCAAAACTATTACTGGTATGAACTTGAAAGCTTAGAATAATATTCTAAAGATGTTATAGAATTAAATATGACAGTAAACATTTTTTTGTTTTTTTAAACCCATGTAACCCCTTAAGTGGGGTCTACTAAGCTTCACTTTCTACCAAATGTGAATACTCGGGCTCAAAAATTTGCCGGGAGTGTCAATTTATGGTTTTTAAAGAAATTTACTGACTATTTTAGCTATGCGTCAAGACATATCAAGTCTAATAAGCCATATCTCTGCCCAGCCAAACAGTTGAACCAATAAACTGTTAGTTAGTAAACGGAAACTCAATTCGTCTCATCATTGTGGCAATATTTATGTGCTTTATATATTCATATGTTATATTCTTGATTATTTTAATCGTTGTACGAACAGAACTAGTTAATATTTTCAGAACATTTTAAGAAGTTAAAAAATTAAACATAATCTAAAAATAACTATATATACATATAAACAAATATATTTTAATTGTTTTCTTAACTTTTTTCTTTACAGGTAAGTGTGGCACATTTAAATTAACATTTAAGGCAATTGGTTGACTGAAAATGCGTACGTATGAGTATTATTATACATTTAACTTTAAAAGATAATAATTAAAAGACATTTTAAACTAAAGTTTTGAAACTTTTACACCGACAACCATTGATTATGTATCTTGTGAAAACCCCTTCCTCTTCAGCTATTTTTTTAAAGGGGAGCAGTGTTATGGATAATTGCATATACAATAGAATTTCATGTTGATTACGCTAAATGTAATTTCTCATTATTTAGATATTCATGCATTCCACGTTTCAAGAAACTTCACGCTAAACTGTGACAGTTATATGAAAAAGGAAGGTTGTAAAAATTTACTAAAGCATAGAGGGTGTTCGAAAAGTATTTAACGAGCAATTAAATTTTTTCGAATAACCCGTTAATGGTTCTATCATTAGCACTTTGTGGCGTGGAGTGTATTGTTGAAGATGCTGCCGAACTTCTTACATTAAATAAAACAATATTTCTTTAGTAATACAACTACTTGACATGCTTTCTATCCGAGCAGTACTAAATTATCTCAGCACGATCTTTTTTATTTTTGTATATTTAAGGTTCAAATATGATTATAGCTATTTATAGATGTAGATGAAAAATAATTTCGGGCAAGTGAGCACCCTGACTGGCTCGAATAAATTCCAGCCGAAAGGCCCAATTTTCAGTCATTGCTTGCAGCAAGTAGGGCGCCATGTCAGCAATAACGCGTCAAATATGCTCTTCCGAGGGGTCAATCGTCTCGAGCTTATCTACATAGACAAGCGACTTTGCATGACCTCACGAAAAAAAAGATCAGCGGTGTTAAATCGCATGATCTTGGAGGCCACGCCACAGGCCTTCAAAAATTTCGCTCACCAAAAATTTCCTCACCAAATCTTAAACAAATCCATAGTTTCATTGGCAAGTAGCGCCGTCTCGTTGGAACCAAAGGTCATCCACATCAACCAATTCAAGCACGAAAAAGTCACTAATCATGGCTCTGTAGCGTTCCCCATCAACTGTAACATTATGGCCGGCGTCATTTTTTGAAAAAATTTGGACCAATGATTCCCGCTGCCCATAGAGTACAACAAACAGTGACTTTTTGAGAATGTTAAGTCATCTCAACAATGGCATGTGGATTACCATCACTAAAAATAGGACAATTTTCTTTATTAACATACTCATTCAATCAAGATCTATGAGTGCTCGAATTATTGACTCTGTTTGGCGATTATGTCGACCGAATATTGAACAAAGCGCGGATGGGTCACGCGCACCGAACTATAATTTTGGTAATTAATTTACTCGGAGCTGTAAAAAAGACACTGAAAAAGGTACTGTTGCATAGAAAACCACACATCTTAAAAAAATACTCTTTATTAATAATAGTATATTAAATTTTCGGATCGGGAATCAGAATCAGACCTAATGCAATTTCTATAATTTCATCTCGTATAAAATGTATTTATATTCATTTTTGTTGAAGACTTGGCCATTATATTCACCAATTATACAGTTTTTATATATGCCTACCAAAATAACGAAACGCTTATTTTTTATTGAAAAATTTAAATTATCAAAACTTTCTACTGATTAAGAATGTCTTTCTTAATGCTAAAGTTATCGATACTTTTCAGTTAAAGTAAATAATATATTAGAGAATTATATGAAAACACACCTTTCGTGGTTAATTTCGATCAGATACCTCTAAAACACTGTCGCTACTTTGAGTATAAGCGGCATGACGTTTTTACATAATATATTCAACTGCTACGATATACCCGTAACATGTTCGCCTGATACATAAAAAAGTTCAATTAATACAACTGCTAATGAGTTAATCGTTATGAATAAAAGCAAGAAATTTGCATAGATAACGAAGTTTTATTCTAGGCCCCTAGGCCTTTTCGAATTTCACAAAAACCCGCGGCACACCCGTCTGTTATACGAGTATATAAACCGGCAATCGCAACATTTCGCGGTATTCACTTCGACTATTAAAAGTAACAGCTATGAACTGTCGTATTTTCTACGCCAAGCTGCTAGTCGTCATATCTCTCTTGGTTACCGAAACCATACAGAGTGACGATGACGCGGCGCTCAAAACGCATACTCTCCAACCAGTGCCCACACCACGCATAGTCAGTGGTGCAAATGCGCTGCCGGGTCAATTTCCTTACGTTGTATCGGTGCGCGTAGGTGAACAGCACAGCTGCGGTGGCACCATAATTTCGCAGAAGCATGTCCTAACTGCAGCACACTGCGTTTACAGGTAAAATACAAATGGAATATAATATTTGTATGCATATTTGTGTATATAGGTATATGTATATGCATATTTATGTATATATGTATATATATCTTCAGTCTACTACCACACTTCCTAACGGTGCAGGCCGGTTCGGTGAATCGCACGGACGGCGGCGTTGTCGTCAATGTCTCACAAATTCTTTCACATCCCAATTTTTTGGATTACAACCACGACATTGCTATACTCAAACTTGAAACGGCGTTAGAATTCAACAACCTCATACAACCAATTCCGGTGGCTACCGTTGATGTGCCTGTTTCTGTGGACGTTAATATTGCCGGTTGGGGACGTTTGGGTGAACATATCCCGCAGCCCGAAATCTTAAAGTATAGTCGTGCGCTCCGTACGATAAGTAGTGAAGATTGTGAAAGTGAAATCGGACCGGTTAGTCCGTCTATATTGTGCCTAGCCAAGAGTCTGGGAAATGGCATTTGTGGTGGTGATGCTGGTGGTCCCGCCGTTTACAAGGGTCTGTTAGTTGGCATTGCAAGCTATCATCTAAGGACTTGCGGTGCTAATACACCAGATGGTTACACTAAGGTGTCTTATTATAAGGATTGGATAGGTGCAAACACTTGCTCCGGCCATACTTCCTGAAATAAAATTTGAAAAATTCGCTAATTTAATATTGACAAAAGTATGTAAAACAAGTAAGGAAGGGCTAAGTTCGGATGTAACCGAACATTTTATACTCTCGCAAAGTCAAATAGTATACTCGTTTGAGATTTCTTTGTGGATTGGCTGATATTTTCGGTAGAAGGTCAACTATAGGCACTGGGGTCCACATATTTAGTACTTAGGGGCTTAAACAGTTTTGGTTCGATTTAGACAATTTTTGGCCACAAGGTGGCATACTTTAATCGCATTATTCACGCAAAGTTTTATCCCGATACAGTCATTGTTGCCTGATTTGCATAGTGGAAAGTGAAATAATCAGATGGAATTTAAAATGGTGTTATATGGAAAGTAGGCGTGGTTGTAGTCCGATTTCGCCCATTTTTGCACTGTGACATAGAAACATGAAAAGAACGTTATGCACCGAATTTGGTTGAAATCGGTTAAGCAGATCTCAAGATATGGGTTTTCACCTAAAAGTGGGCTGTGCCACGCCCACTGTCTAATTTTGAACGCAGTTCCTATAAAGTCATCTCATACCATCCCAGAGATAAAATTTAATGACTCTGGCGTGTTTAGTGCTTGATTTATCGCGCTTTTAGTAGTTTTTAACAGTACCGTTATATGGGGAGTGGGCGGAGTTGCCACCCGATTTCAACTATTTTCACACCGTCAATAGAAGTGCTAAAAATATTTGCTTCCAGTGAATTTTGTTATTATAGCATTAGCGGTTTAGGAGATATGCACATTAAACCTATTAGAGGCGGGACCACGCCCACTTTAAAAAAAAAAGTTTTAACTGCAGATGCCCCTCCCTAATGTGATCCTGTGTACCAAATAACAGTCTTGTATCTTATTGCGGAGCTTAGTTATGGCAAGTTATTTGTTTTTGATTAATGGCGTTTTGTGGGCGTGGCAGTGGTCCGATTACGCCCATCTGCAATACCAACCGTCTCACGGTACCATGAAACATGTCTACCAAGTTTCATAAAGATATCTCAATTTTTACTCAAGTTAGAGCTTGCACGGACGGACGGACGGACAGACGGACGGACAGACGGACGGACGGACAGACAGTCACCCGGATTTCAACTCGTCTCTTCATCCTGATCATTTATATATATATAACCCTATATCTAACTCGATTAGTTTTAGGTGATACAAACAACCGTTAGGTGAACAAAACTATTATACTCTGTAGCAACAGGTTGCGAGAGTATAAAAAAAGCGACCACAATAAAACAAAATAATGTGTATATATTATGTAATAGATTGAAATACTGAGTTTATCGTTAGTCGCAACTGGAGCATAGGAACTCTACTCATCCATTTCATGTCAATTTTGATCAGCCACGACTTCTGCTTCCTTGCGGATTCCAGTCAAGCGACAGTCTCGTAAATCTGCTTAGGCGATATATAGAGACCATTCTTTGATATCGAGTAACGTTAATTTGTTGCTTTTAATTAGAACGGGTAATTGGTCTACCACTGGCATGATATAAGTATGAAGACTTCAACTAAAGATTAGTTCACCGAATCATTCCCAAAGTACGTATATAGAGTATACTTTAGAGGCTTTAACTTTTTAGCTATTCTGAATTGATTTCAAGAGCTACAGTTTAATTTACTTCAAGAGTATATATGATATGTTTCTCTCTGCAACTTTTATAAGATTAGAAAAAGAGAAGAACAAAAAGTCATCCTGAGCAAATCTCGGCTTGGCATTAATTTGCTTTATGCGATAAAGCTGTTATCAGTCGTTTACAAGTTTATAGTCAATATACATATATTGTACATATGTGCATACATCTACATAAAGTATGTACATATATAGATTGGGGCGCTGCTTGAGACGTTACAGTCTTTTTTCATCTCCTTCTAGATGTTTAAGTCCTCAATGCTTCTTCCTTTGTTAAGTAATAATACCATTTAACACTAGCATTGTCAAAATCAAAATAGTTGGATAGTTGCCACAAGTTTACAAATTATATGTTAAAAAAATTGCCAAAAAAAATAAATACTGCAATATGGTTTTCAAACTGCAAAATATATAAGAAAATTTAAAGCTGATAATATTTTAATAGTTGAGCTGCCACCTATTTTCAAATTATTATTCAAAAATATTGATTAGATAAACAAATTATTAATATTATTAATATTGTTAATATCATATTGAAGTTGATAAAAGTTTCTTACAGCTCGATATACTCTCGATTCTTAGTGGGCTGCCACCTGTTTAGAAAGTATAATTAATTAGAAAATACACGTATTTTTAAAATACTTAATTAGTTATTAAAATCGTACTCAAGCCAAACATTAACCGCGGCTTAAAATTACAAGTATTTTTGCCACATGTTTAGAGTTATTAACATATACCTTCTGCTCAAATATAAACGAGACTGGCTCAAACAATAAAAACGGTTAATTATTCTTCAATATTTATTTTATCCCCTTCAAAATAGTCACCATATGCCACCTTTTTTTCCAATCTTCCTAACACTTCTGGTAGGCCGCTTTAGGTATGGCTTTCAGTTCCTTCTTCGAATTCTCTTTTATGACTTCAATCGACTGAAAATGCTTTCCACGAAGCGGCAATTTGAGTTTAGGGAAAAGAAAAAAGTCACACGGTGCCATGTCGGGTGAATGCGGTGCTTGCGGAACAATATTTACGTTGTTTTTGGTCAAATAACCGCGTACAAGACGAGACGTATGAGCTGGATTTTGGAACAAGTCGAGCAGACACACGTCTCATGCCCAAAACATCGTAAATAATGCTATGAGCGGATTCATTTGATATGTTGAGCTCACTAGCTATCTCTCTTTCAGTCACACGACAATTTTCCAACACAATTTTCTTTACTTTTTCGACGTTTTCTTCGTTTATTGACGTTGCTGGACGACGATCATGGGGCAAGTTCTCCAGCGATGTACGGCCGTCCTTGAACGACTTATACAAATCAAAATTACGTGCACGTGATAGGCAAGACTCCCCATATGCCTTCTGCAACATTTTCATTGCGTCCGTCGCACTTATTCCATAGGAATAACAAAATTTCAAACAAACACTTTTTGCTCAACGTTAATTTCCATAGTAAAATTCGAAAAACACACTCGAGGTTGACTTGTTTATAGTGCCTTAAAAAAAAAACTATGTGACAGATCGCGCTCAAATTTGACATGTAAACATATAACAGTCCTGCCAACCTAAGCAAAAAAAAGTATGGCCATATGTCATGTCCTTGTCGAGTTATGGATAAAGTCTCGTTTTGCGTTGAGCAGAAGGTAAATCAAACAAAATATTACATTGTTTAACACGGACTGTAAAGGCTAACGCCGGCTTATAGTTAAATTTATTTTTTTATTGTAAAAATTTTAAAGCTTTTTATTCTCCAATATTCAGAAAATAGATTAATTATTACAAGATGGGTCTTCAATTACACAGATTGAGGAAATAATTTTGTATAGTATCGTCACCACAATACAAGTTTTGATACATGAGAAACTTCTGTCATACATATGTATGTACATATTTTCAATAAGATCAGCAGTATGGCTCTACATTTACTTAATGCCAATAGGCATGCCAATTTGAGCGTAAATTGAAGAAGCCGGAGATCATTTGATCTCTCTATCGCTCTATCTGTATATACGCGAACTAGTCCCTTAGTTTTGAGATATCGATCTAAAACTTTGCGTCCTTTTTTCCCTTAGAAGCTGCTTATTTATTGGAACCGTCAAAATCAAACCACTGTAGCAGATAGCTGACATACAAATTGAATGATGAAAATCATGCCTTTGTATGAAAACCTTTCTTTATTTGACAAGATATTTGCTCCGAAGAAATGATTTAGATCGGACCACTATTACATATAGCTTCCATACAATTACGTCGATCAAACTCAAGTCCAAAGTCAAACAAGACCACAATCCTCGAATGTATTGTTCAGATCGGACTACTATACCATATAGCTGTCATATAAACTGCTCGATAGAAATCAACATGAAGATCTTTTTATACCCTTTCGTGGTATTAAAATGCACCTGTGAAGAGTAATATAGCTGGGCTGCAGAAGTTATCTTCTTCCCTTTTTTTCATATTTGGTGTTGGTACTAAAGTCCTCAAGGGTTTAAATAAAGCTTCACAATTTAATAACTACTTATAATTAAATTGTTAATTGATTTATGCAAATATGCCTGTATCAAGCCATATTTTCTTAAAAATCAAAAAAAAAAATAAATAAAAAACATTTACTCTGTGGCTANGTGTGCATTCAGGCAAAATGTTCTAAGCGTTTTGACCTTTCGGTCGACACCTTCATCATCATTAATTTGCAGTGCAGTAACTGCAGC